TGAGAGATAATGACCTGAGCCCAGATCAAGAGTCAGAAATTTAACCTATTGAGCAGCCCAGGCATCTCATATACCACATTTTCTTGACCATTCATCCACTGACAGACACTTGGGTTGTTTCCATATCTTGGCCATCACAGTAAAGAACCTGGGATTGCAGATAGCTCTCAGACATTCTGTTTTCATTTCCTTTTTAATTTTTTGAGGAACCAGGATTTGGAATTGTACTCTACATATTACGGGGGCGAGGAGAGGGGGAAGAGAGGATGCTGTGCAAAGGACAAGATCTAGTTTACTTCTGTAAAAGCTCCTCCCGCTGCTTAATGAAGATGTTATTTCAGGGGCCAGAAGTGGAAAACAGAGCCATTTGGATATCTGGGGGTAAAGAATGTTCTAAGCAGAAGGAACAGAAAGTGCAAAGGCCCTGAGGCAGAATCATGGCTGGCTTGATCCAGGTACATCAATGACACCAGAAATGAGTGCAATATAGAGGAGGAGGTGAGATCATAAATAAGGAGGGAAAGACGGAGGGAGGTACAGTTCAAGGTGATTATCATTAGGTCACTTGTAGCTTCAAAAAGTCAAGATTTTCTCTTAACACCAATACTATTGTTCAAGGTGCTGAGTCCTCCCTCACCTTCTACTGAACAAACAATTAAAATTGAAAGCCAAGTCCTAGCTCTCGTAAACCTATCTGAGATATTTGTATACTCAATACCTCTTCACACAATTAAGCTCTAGCAATGGTTTAATTGTCCTACTTATTTGAAGAGCTCAGGGGCGCCTGGGTGGCTCAGTCAGTTAAGCGTCCAACTTCGGCTCAGGTCATGATCTCACAGTTCATGAGTTCGAGCCCTGCGTCGGGCTCTGTGCTGACAGCTGGGAGCCTGGAGCCTGCCTCAGATTCTGTGTTTCCCTCTCTCTCTGTCCCTCCCCCACTCATGCTTTGTCTCTCTCCTTCAAAAATAAATAAATGTTAAAAAAAAAAAGGTTAAAAAAAGAAGAGCTTGATTTCATTAATATTTGGTCCACAGAGCCTCACAGAGGTACTTTGATCAACATTTAGGATTCCATAAATGGATTTGTATTGACTCGTGTCATCAAACAACAAGTTCATTGTCATAAAATCTGTTCGGGGAGCTCCTAATAGTTTCCACGCCCCACACCCGGGGATTGATGTTTATTTTGTTGGTTTTCAGATAGCATCTCACATCTCATTCCTATAATATCTTAGACTTCTATCTCAGTGGGTTTTTTTTTTCAATTATTTTTGTGTGTTCAATTCTTTTTACATCAAGTTACCATCAGCTTTAAAGAGCCCAACCATTCTTTTCTGTAAAACCAGAGTATTGATGTCCGTTTTAGAATGGCATTTATTAAGGCCAAATCTCAAAAATTAAAAACAAACTGAGGCTCCTGGGTGGCTCAGTCGGTTGAGCGTCCGACTTCGGGTCAGGTCATGATCTCACAGTTTGTGGGTTTGAGCCCCGCATCGGGCTCTGGGCTGACAGCTCAGAGCCTGGAGCCTGCTTCAGATTCTGTATCTCCCTCTCTCTCTGCCCCTCCCCCATTCATGCTCTGTCTCTCTCTCTCTCTTTCTCAATAATAAATAAAAATGTAAAAAAAAAGTTTGTTCCTTTAAAAATTAAAAATAAAAAATTTTTTTAAATTAAAATTAAAAACAAACCAAAAAACACATACCTTTATTTTCTAAAGGCTGAGTCCTTTTCCACAATGTTATTGAGAAACAGATTTACAAGACCTGACCTGATTTCCAGTCTGTTCTTTGCAGTTTTAGCTCCCCCAGTTCTTCTCTTGCATCCAAACACTCCTCCAATTTTCACTATTTCAATCTCCAACTCTTCAGATACATTGGTTTATTCTCTATGTATTTCCTGGATGCGTGGTGGCATATGTAAAATTTTAGGAGAAATATTTAAAGTATTCCATTTTAGTTATATCTTTTTTGAATCATTCAGCAACAACTAAACAAAGAAACTTGAATGGTACCAACTTAAAACACCCAGAATGTTTTGCACATTTTGCCCGAAACCTTGGGCTTACATTATATCTGTACAAAATCCCAGGAAGTCTTCACATACATATTTTTCCTGGAGATGACATTTCCTTTTTAAATTTTTTTAAAATGTTTCATTTATTTCTGAGAGAGAGGTATTGTGAGCAGGGGAGGGTCAGAGAGAGAGGGAGACACAGAATCTGAAGCAGGCTCCAGGCTCTGAGCTGGCAGTCAGCACAGAGCCCGACATGGGGCTTGAACCCACGAACCATGAGATCGTGACCTGAGCCGAAGTCAGTTGCTCAACCGACTGAGCCACCCAGGTGCCCCTGGAAATGACATTTCTAAAACACCACCAAAGCGTCACAAGCATCATGTGACCATATTTCTAGAGCCAATAAATGATTCTATTTTTTACTTATGTCAGATTTTACTTCAAATGTTGTTCTGAAATAAATCACACAGCCTTGTGGCATCAACCAAACTTTAAACTACTTTCAAAGTCTTAAATTTGACTCAGTTACTTTTAACCATACATCAGAGTATTTTAAAAAATATATATTTCGGGGCGCCTGGGTGGCTCAGTCAGTTAAGGGTCTGACTTCAGCTCAGGTCATGATCTTGCGGTTTGTGAGTTCGAGCCCCGAGTCGGGCTCTGTGCTGACAGCTCGGAGTCTGGACCCTGCTTCAGATTCTGTGTCTCATTCTCTCTCTCTCTCTGCCCTTCCCCAAACTCGTGCTCTGTCTCTCATTATCAAAAATGAATAAACACTGGGCATCTGGGTGGCTCAGTTGGTTAAGTGTCCAACTTCGGCTCAGGTCATGATCTCATGGTTCGTGGGTTCAAGCCCCGTGTCAGGCTCTGCTGACAGCTAGCTCAGAGCCTGGAGCCTGTCTTTGGATTCTGTGTCTCCCTCTCTGAGCCTCCTCTGCTCACGCTGTCTCTATCTCTCTCTCTCAGAAATAAATAAAAAACATTTTAAAAATTAAAAAAAATAATAAACATTAAAAAAATTTTTTAAGTCATATTACTTTCTAAATGTTTTCTGTCTGCTTTACCAACATACTCTGACATAAAAGTTTTTTCCAGGAACTTTTTATTACTCAAATGCTTTTTTAGTGTGACACAGAATAATTACGTTCTTTTAATCTCTCCTCATTGATGATTACAAATTTTCTTTACTTGAGCCCTAGACGAACACTCCATGATTGCCATTCAGATGAAACCATTAGATATCAGCATTTCCGACCTGAGTGAACATTTTGTGAGCAGTATTTGGATCTAATATTTCTTTCACCTGTTACCATAAACTACCCATATTTTTATTGCTAATAATTGTTTGCCAAAAATATACATTGGTTGTCAGATTTTACAGTGAGTCTTACACGGAAGCAACACTCTATTAGGATGCCCTGACTTCTACTAATATCAGGTGCTATAGGGTTACAATTCACTGTGAATATCATTCCTCCTCTCTTCTCCCACAAATTCAGAGTCCTGTCCAGATTTACTAGGAACATGAAAAAGCTTATGAAAACTTATTGCCTTTTCTTTCTGGATTCTTTCTTTAAAAAAAAAAAAATTTAGTGTCTATTTATTCTTGAGAGAGAGAGAGACCGAGCACAAGCAGGGGGAGGGGCAGAGAGAGAAGGAGACACAGAATCTGATGCAGGATCCGGGGCTCGAACTCATGAACCATGAGATCATGACCAGAGCCAAAGTTGGATGCTCAACTGACTGAGCCACCCAGGCACCCCCTGGATCCTTTCTTTTTAATGTTTTATTATAAACTTGATTTGATCATTATCCAAGCATTGTACAGTTAACGCTGACGCAAAAGTTGCAAGGCGCAAACAGTAAACGCCATAGTAAATCTTATCTATGACAGGAGCCCACCTCAGATTTGAGGATACTGACACCCTGGTTCCTCTCCTATAATGTAGAGCATTTCATAAGCACACGTCACTTACAGTGACAATAGCCAAACTGGCAAGGAGTCCGGGAAATATTTCTCAGATGTTACCAATATATCAGAGCTCATTGCAACCTTCAACAACAATGAACTTGAAATACAGAGTTTACGTTATGATTTGTATTGTTAGTTAATTTTACTATTCTTTGGGAAGACTGCAAGGGTATGTTCTAGCCTGTGCCAAACATTTCTGGATTTTATCAATGGCCACTTGTGCTGGCACATGGTGGCTGACTTGGAGTGGCAATGGGAGGTCATGGTTGCCCTTGACATGCAAGAGCAGGCAGTATTTTTTAAAAGTATGGAGGTCCAGAGAAGCAGAGAAAGGAGAAAGTAACCGGAGGGCTATTTGGGACAAAGAAGGGATTCTCTCAAAGATGGAAGAAATTCTGGAATCCTTGAGTCTTCCTTTGGATTCTCCCCACAGCAGGTTCTGAGTCAAGGACTTGAGTGCAAATAGTTTCATTAGGAGGTAATCCCAGGAGATCCAGGGAACGTTCCAAAAAGGGTGACATGGTTGAGCAGACTCCCACTTCAGGCAGCTGAGGGGTGATCTTCCTAGGGATCCCGGAGATAACACAGGTCAGAACTGCCTCGCTCAGGAGTGATGAAGCTAGGGGAGTCACCCAGAAAGCCCTGTTCTTTGCCAGCTCTAACACTCCAGGGAGTGTTAATGCCCACATCCCCACACGTGCAGGCTGAGCTCTCTACTGTGCCCAGGTGATGCCCTGGGGCGTAGAGGTGTAGGGGGTGAGGGTGAGAAATGGCCTGGGTGCTTGGCAGCTGGCCACCCATCCTGTAGATGGGCTGTGGGGAGTGAATGGTGTATTCACGGACGGAAATGGTGCAGCTAGCAGGTGGGTGGGTGGGGGCCCTGTTTCCGGAGAGAGTGGGAAGAACTGATGAGTGTCTGGAACTGACAGGAGGGGGTGAGATCCAGGGCGTGGTTCAAGGGCTGGCCATGTCAGGACCCCAGACAACTTTTGGGTTTCTTTTCTGATTGATCCAGGATGACCATGGAAGGGGCAAATCTCACCAGGGTCTCTGAGTTCTTGCTCCTGGGCCTCTCAGAAAACCCCAAACAACAGCAGGTGCTGTTCATACTCTTTCTGAGTATGTACCTGGTCACGGGCCTGGGGAACCTGCTCATCATCCTGGCCATCGCCACCGACACGCAGCTCCACACTCCCATGTACTTCTTCCTGGCTAACCTGGCCTTGGTGGACATTTGCTTCACCTCCACCACCATTCCCAAGATGCTGGCCAACCACATGTCAGGACACAGAGGGATCCCTTACGCAGGCTGCCTGACCCAGATGTTCTTCTTCATCTGGTTTGCTGGCATCGACAGCTTCCTGCTGACCGCCATGGCCTATGACCGCTACGCGGCCATCTGTCACCCTCTGCACTATGCCACGTCTGTAACGCCACGCCTCTGTAGACTCCTGGTGGCTGCGTCCTGGACTGGAGCCTTCGGGAACGCCCTGACCCACACGGTGTTACTGACTCGCCTCTCGTTCTGCACCCACAACCGGGTTCCCCATTTCTTCTGTGACCTCAGCCCTCTGCTGAAGCTGGCCTGCTCCGACACCTTCCTCAATAACGTGATGGTGTACACCGTGGGCGCCCTACCCATCATCACCCCCTTTGTGGGTATTTTGGTCTCCTACACACGCATCTTTGCCGCCGTGCTGAGGATCCCGTCCACGAGGGGCAAGCGGAAGGCTTTCTCCACCTGTGGCTCTCACCTCTCTGTGGTGTCCCTGTTCTACGGGACACTCATTGGGGTTTATTTCAGCCCCACATCCTCCCACACCGCCCAGAAGGACACGGCCGCTGCAGTGATGTACACGGTGGTCACTCCCATGCTGAACCCCTTCATCTACAGCCTACGCAACAGTGACATGAAGGGCGCCTTGGGGGGCCTCATCAGTAGGAAGCCAGTTTTTATTCAGTGACCACAGCATTGGGATGTTTGAGTGTCCAAATCTGGGGCCCATCTGTACAAAATTACCCTGTACAGTTCCAATCTTAGATATTTCCTTCACATCGCTCTTGGTTCTCTGTGTATTACTTCATCCTTCCAGCAGCTGTTTATTGGGCATCTACGACAAGGCAGACACTCTTTTAAGGGCTGAGGATCCAGCAGGGAACAAACAAAATCCCTGACCATGTGGTGGCTCACACCGCAGCCTGAAGAACACATCGCAGCTAAAAAGCTCTCTGGGGAGCCCGGGTGGCTCAGTCCATTGAGCGTCTGACTCTTGATTTCGGTTCAGGTCATGATCTCGGGGTTGTGGGATCAAGCCTCACGATCAGCTCCATGCTGAACATGGAGTCTGCTTAAGATTCTCTCTCTCTCTCTCTCTCTCTCTCTTTCTCTCTCTCTCTCTCTCGGTGCCTGGGTGGCTCAGCGAGTTATGTCTCTAACTTCAGCTTTGGTCATGATCTCACAGTTCATGAGTTCAAGCCCTCCATGGGTCTCTCTGCTGACAGCTCAGAGTCTGTTTTGGATCCTCTGTCTCCCTCACTCTCTGCCCCTCCCCTGCTGGTTCTCTCTCTCTCTCTCTCTCAAAATAAACAAATAAATAAATTCACACACAAAAAAAGATTCTCCCTCTCTCTCCCTCTGCCTTTCTCCCCTGCTCACTCTCTTCTCTCTCTAATAAAAAATTTCAAAAACAGGAAGTGCTTAAGAAAGGGAAGTGCTCAGCCAACAGAGACACCAGGACACAAGCCCCACTTTGGTTAAGATTCCGGTGAAGCGACTATAAAAAGCCCCGATTGCAAGGGCTCAAACATCCTAAGATTTTTCGGACTGCACTCTGTCTCTTTAACAAAAGCTCCTTCAAAAAGCTTAGAGTAGACATCTGGTGTAGTTGTTTCCATGAGTTCCATTGCTAGGCACCAGGTCCGATGGGCTTTTCTAATCAGACCTCTTGTGTTTATTTAATTTGCAATATTGGCTTCCTTGAACTACCTACACTTTTGTCACCCGCCGTTAATGGTCACCCAAAACAATAGCCTTAGGTGGGAGGCAAGATCCTTATTTATATTGTTTTGAAGGAGCAGGAAGCTGTTGGCTCTTCTAACTTTGTGATGTTTCTGTCTTTGAAAAGTGGCCAATTCTGGGGTGCCTGGGTGGCTCAGTCGGTTAAGTGTCCGACTTCAGCTCAGGTCATGATCTCGCGGTTCGTGGGTTTGAGCCCCACGTTGGGCTCTGTGCTGACAGCTCGGAGCCTGGAGCCTGTTTCAGATTCTGTGTCTCCCTCTCTCTCTGCCCCGCCCCTGCTCGTGCTCTGTCTCTCACTGTCTGTCAATAATAAATAAATGTTAAAAAAAAAATTTTTTTAAGAAAAGAAACAGAAAAATGGCCAATTCTTATCCAAGATCATCTCTTTCTTGTGATTCCTTGTTGCACGTGGCAAGCAGCAGCCAACTCATGGTGACCTTCTAGCTCTTTCCAATCACGTCTGGGAGCACAGGCTCAGGAGACATATGATCTTTCAGGTTATTACCCATGACGGTTTCACCAGATGAGGTTCTTGGACATAACAAGTGTTATGAGCTTTCCCAGCCTACAAAATCTGTGTCCTCACCATGGACCACTCAGCTCATGCAATTGGCTTTTCATCTGTGGGATGTCAACATCTCACTTCTGATTCCAGTTTCTGTATTAGTCAGGCTGAATAGCCTACGGGATGTATAAGTTTCCTGGGGATTCTGTAAAAACAAACAAACCAAAGAACAAACAAGAAACCCAATAAAAACAAGCAAACAGAAAAACCACAAACGAGGTGGCTTATACAGAAATCTGTTGTCCCACGGTTCTGGGGGCCCGAAGTCCAAAATCAAGTGTTGGCAGCTTGGCTCCTTCTGAGGCTGTGCGGGAGACTCTGTCCCGAGCCTCTCTCCCAGCTGGGGGGAGCTGGTGCTTTGCTGACCATCGCTGGTGTCCCTGAACTTGTGGATCATGCCTTCATCTCTACATGGCATCCTCTCGGTGTGCATGGCTGCCTCCAAATGTCCCCTTTTTATCAAGACACCAGTTCTCTTGGATTAGGAATCCATCCTACTCTAGAATGACAGCATCTTAACTGTTGTATCTGCAATAATCCCATTTTTAAGATATGAATCTGGGGAGGGGACATGATGCAATCCACAACATTTTTAATGTCTATTTTTAAATTTTTTAATTTTTATTAATGTTTATTATTTTTTCTTTTTAATTTATTTATTATTAATTAAATTATTATTTATTATTATTTTTAATGTTTATTGTTTATTTATTTATTAGAGAGAGAGAGAGCATGACCATGGGAGGGGTAGAGAGAGGCGGAGACTCATAATCTGAAGCAGGCTCCAGGCTCCGAGCTGTCAGCACAGAGCCTGACATGGGACTCGAACTCACACACTGCCCCTGTCCCCTGCTCATGCTCTCTCTCTCTCCCTCAAAAATAAAATCAGATAGGTAAGATAAAATAAGTTAAAATAAAATAAAATAAAATGAACAGTTTTTTAAATGGATGCCTCTTACCCTGAAGAAGGCACAGCCCTACTCAACCACGGGTTCAGAAATCAGGATCACGGAGTTTCTTCAACCTTTTGAGGACTCTCATCTGTGGACTTTTCTGGCTCTATGCACAAACCTTTGACCCCCGAATCCACATCTTTCTTGTAATACTTTGCAAAAATCGGCAACGAGCAACCAATTCACAGTGATATTCTTACTCCTTCTAATCCCTCCACCTAGAGATGCAGGTTTCAAAACCACTTGAACGATCGTCCAAGTTTTCAGTGAGTATAGTTTCACCTTGGCCTTGACCTGAAGAGGGTACCCAGCTTTCTAGCTTGGGGTACCGTGTCCTCGCAACCCAGCCACTGAGCGAATGCCACCCACTGCCTTGGCAGCACCCCCTTCTAGGACCAGCTGCTCTATTTCTTAGGACAAAAGTCTAAACTTCTCCAGCAAAAAAAAAAAAAAAGAGAATTTCAAGATGCAGTATTTCAAACAAGACAGAAGTTGACTTTTCTCTCAAGTCCCGGGTCAGCAGGCAGCTCTGTTTCATGCAGCCTTTTTAGGTACCAATTTCCATCAATCCCCGAGACCCTGGGGTTGTTTGCAAGCTGGGTCATAGGCATGTCCAGGTTCCAGCTTGCAAACAAGGGACCAATGAGCACGAGGGAGGGAGGTCTTCTGTCTTCAGGCTTCAGCCCAGAAGGTGCACACAGGGCTTACATTCACATCCCAGCAGTGAGGACTTAGCCACCGACACTTAGACGTGACTTAACCACAAGGCAGACTGGAAAAGATACTGTAGCTACAAAGTCACAACTCCATGCTATAGAGGAGGGTGGAATGGAAACCATAGGGAGCTATCATTCCTCAAAGCAGCCTTTTCCTTCCCACGTAGCCTTGGGCCAGCCTCCGTCTTCTCATATGTAAGATAAAGGTAATGACACTGAAGCACAGGGATGTGAACAGAGTGAGACAACATAAGGTGATGCATACACGACTGGCAAGCAAGATGATTTTAGATATTAAAGGGATAGACATGTTTTGTTTAATTGTGTATCAGGAGAAAACAAATTAGTACCTCAAGTTTGCACTAAGATGAGGCCAAAGAAGTTATCTGAGTTGTTTTTTTTTTTTTATAAAGACAGTCTCACAGCATTCGTTGTCATCTGGTAACAACCTAAGAGAAATCAAAACAATACACATGAACGTCTTAGAACGATACTCCCAACAAAGGACACCTAAAAAAAAGTGTTGCCTTCTCAACAATTTCTCACTTCATTGATCATTTATTTTTTTTAATTTTATTTATTTAAGTAGTCTCTACACCCAACATGGGGCTTGAACTCATGACCTCAAGATCAAGGGCCACATGCACTTCTGACTGAGCCAGCCAGGTGCCCCTGATTATTTCATTTGGCAGAATAACATCATCTCCTTTTCATGTTCCCACCCAGTTGTTCTCTTGACTGTGGTTTAGAATGAATGCCTTCTGCATCATCTAATATGAGGTCCCTATACTCATCGAAACTGATGATACAGCCCTCTATGCTCATATTCACTTTGTTTATAAAGCCACGCCTGCACCTGGGATCTCTTTCACAAGTATCTGAAGATGATGGGCTACATTGTCACCTTCTGCATTTTTGGGCCTACACTAGTTCAACTGAGACTCTTTTAAATGATAGACTTAAAGAAAAAAAATATCAAGGAAATGGTAGTGCCTTCGGTGCACAGACGTGGCCTTAGCAGACTGGTGATGGCTCCCTCCCTGTATTCCTTCTACCCACCCACAGTGCACCCGTGACATGCCCACGATTTCCAACACATTGTGTTCATGGCCCTGCTGTATCAGGACCAGAAGCATCAGGGCATTCGTGCCCAGAGGAGAGCCATCAACCAGCGATGCTCAACAGTTGGTAGGCAATGGCCCCTAGCTTCCTGACTTCAATTAGATGACTCTAAACCATCTGCAGAGTGGCAGTCAGAAGTCGCTCAGAAGATCCCAAGGGGAACCAAGGCCCAGTTGCCCACAGCAGCAGCCCACTCGTGAATGCGGCTCCCCTCCCTGCTTCCTTTCCCCACTCTCTCACCGGGTTTCCAGGACTATCTCCCACAGATCCTTGTTTTGGGGTCTACTTTTAGGGAAACCCAAAGTAAGACATGTGCAGAAAGGTAGAGGTGATACAGGAATGACTGCAGTTTGTAAATGCTGAGGTACTGCATCTAAAACACTCAGTGCCTGGCACCTAGTAAGGATCCAACAAATGTTATTGTTGTTTCTTTTACAAAATGTGGTACGTGGTCCCTGGGTGGCTCAGTAGGTTGAGCGTCTGACTCTTGACTTAAGCTCAAGTCATGATCCCAGTGTTGCGGGACTGAGCCTCAAGATGGCCTCCGCACTGAACGTGGAGCCTGCTCGAGATTCTCCCTCTGCCCCTC